CCACTGAGAGACAAACCTTCCAACCCACGCGGCGCCGGGCCGAGCGCGGGGGGGTCACAATAAAGCGCCTAAGGTGGAAGTGTCAGCGCTCGAGCCAAAAATAATGTCAGCCTTTTATTTCAGTCAATGAAACAGACTTTATTATAGATGCCACATAATTCCTTAAATAAGTTAGATGTGCACACAGAACTACCTAGAGGTGTGACAGACATTCAGTGCGGCCCCGAGCGCGTCCGTAAGCTTTGGGGTGCGGGGAGAGGACAGACAGACAGACCGGTGAGGTCAGACCTCCCGGCGAGGTCAGCACAGCAGCACAGCAACCCGCAGCCTCGTGCTGCCACGCACACCCCCGGCCTGTTCCAGCGGGAGCATCACCGGTGGGATCGAACGATGGGAACGGCCCCGGGATCAAACTGGGAATGGCTCTGGAGGTGGATGGCGAGTGCCTGGGAAGGCTCCCGGGGGCTTCAGCCACCTAAAGCAGGAGGTCTGCGGCACTAAACCCATCAGAGCGAAGCGGCAGGCTGGGGCGGGCGCGGGGCCGGCACGGACCGGACATGACACAAACGGGAACGACCTGGATGTTGGCAGGCGATGGCAGCGAGGGCAGGTCACTGCTGGGCAGCCTGCTGCATCTGCGCCTGCCGCTTGGCTTTGGTCTGCAGGTACCTGCCCTTCCCCTCCTCGAAGCGTCGCTTCTCGTCCTCCGTCTCTGTCTGCGCCACAGGAAGAAAGCAAAGCCACCGGGGTCAGCATGTGCTCGGGGAAACGCCTCCCCTCACATGCAAGGAGAAAGCTGTTCCCCATGGAGCACACCCTGACAGCCAACATGCTCACACACACAGCAGGACACCTGCGCTGCAGCACATAACCAAACAGCCCCAGGCAGCAGTGCCGTGGCAGCACAGCCCTGCCAGGACCAGGGGAGATAAAAATGGGAGGAGGGCTGGAGCAGGGATGGGGGATGTGGGGGCCTCCACCACCGCTCATGGTCCCCTGCTGCAGGGCCCACATGGAGCCTGTCCTCAGCCGGGAGGAAGGAGAAAATCCCCAACCTCCACATTGGCAATTTTCAGAAGCAACCAACCAACCAACCAAACCCCCCTGCAGCCTGCTCTGGAAAGTCTCATTCGTGCTCATATTTTTCTGCTGAATAATTCAAGACAAGAGGATCTGTTGGAAAAACAACAGCTGGGCTGTGACCCAGAGGGAGCAGGAGAGCTGCTGGACCCACTGGGCCCAGCCCAGGGGAGAGCCCTTACCAGCAGCTGTGGGACAGGCAGGGGCGTAAAAAAAACGTAGGTAAAGAAGGCGCTGACAGCACGGTACTGCTCCCGAGGCTCATCCACAAACGGGTCTGCATCCACAAAGACTTCGATTTCCATGGATTTATTGCTTGTGAAGGTCATGCGCCCTGAGACGGTGATGACACAGCCTGTGAAGCAGAGAGGGGCTGGTGATGGAGCAAGGAGACCTGCCTGTTTTGTGCTTAAGTGGAGCTTCTTGGCACAGGACAAATCTAACAGGGACTACACTTCTCTGCCCATGTCCCAAGCACACACCTAAGGGAGCCAGGATGTGGCGCTAAGGGAGATCACAGTTCCTGTCACTACCCACAGTACCTTTCTTGATCTTCTCATGGAAGTTGATGGCATCCACTGAGGCAGTGACAATGTTGGTCTTGCAGTGGCGAGCGGCCACAATCCCAGCAACCTCATCCATGAGTTTCATGGTGACACCTGGAGGAGAGGGATGAAAAAAACACAGGAATTACAGTTAAGAGTGTCAGTTTTGGGGGCATAGAAACTGACAAAGCTCTTGTGTCAGCTGAAGCAGCTCTGCACAGTAATCATAAAGAGGCCTGTGTGCCTTCAGGGGCAGAGCCCAGCTCAAACCATGCTCTGCTCCAGGGAAAGCCCACCTGGCCACTCACTCACCTCCATGCACGAAGCCCAGCAGTGTGCAGTCTGACGGCCCCACCAAGTGGATCAGGCTGGACTGGCTGTAGCCAACAGTGTGTGGCTCTGGTTAGAGAGCAAAACGGGGTCAGAGCTGCTCGGGTAGCACCTGTACACCACCACACACCTGTCTTCAGGTATCCAAAGGAGGAAAACAAGGCTGGCTTGTGAACTATGTTCAAACCAGCGGTCAAACCAGGCTGGAGAAGTCTCGAGAGCAGAGACTATTCACCCCCTGACATGCTGCTGCCTCCCTCTAATCCCCAGCCATCCATTTTAGTCCAGCTCAGCTCATTTCTTTCTTTTCGAGCTTTCAAAGAGCATGAAAGCAAATGGGAGTGAACTGGGGCACATGGCAAAACACTTCCCTCCTCAGGGCACCAGTCATAGCTGAACCTTCCTTGCAGCACAGAGCCCCACTCTCCCCTCAGCGTGAAGACCTCGGCCCCCACGGCCCCCAGCCCTGGCACATGCTGGTGACATCCATCCTGCCACCACCTCCAGGTGACAGACCTCACACCCCCTGACTGCCAGCAGAGGAAATCCTCACTCAGGGGTGGCTGCGTTTTCCATCTGATGAAAGATGCTAAAGGAGCTCAGAGCAGGGAAAACCAGCCAAGTCCCCGACTGCTCGAAGCAGCCACCCGCACAGCAGTGCCCGCCAAGCCTTACCTTTCGTCTGCCTGTCTGTGAGCAGGGAGGACAGAGGGGAAAAAAGCATTTGAGCAACTTTCAACCCCATCACCCCCACAATGATCCCCGCATGCCATCTCTCTGCCTCTGCCCAAGGACCACAGCCAGGCCTGGAGGTCGCCCTTGCCCAGTGCTTGTCTTTACTCTGTGCTGAGCTGAGCAAACCAAGCTCCAGCTGCCCAGGAGCACATGAGGCATGTCAGGAGTGGTGCAGGAATGGGGTTTCGGAAGAGGTCATTCCACCCATCTGCCCCTGCAGGGTGTCACAGGTGTCCACCCTGCTCCCCATCCACTGCAGCTCCCAAATCCCATCCCCACCCCTGATGCAGTGTTTCAGAATGCACACGTGCAGCCACGGGTCCCTGGGGATGGCAGGAGTTGCCTCAGGGACCAGTTTGGCCTCCCAGTACTGCCGAGTGGTTTGCATCAGCCACACACTGCTCGCGTTACCTGGGTTGATGACAGGTAAGATCACATCGCCGTTTCTCTGCTTAGTTTCCAACCGATCCAGCTTTTGCTCCTCATAACGCTTCTTCCCTTCTTCTTCCTGCTCCTTTCTCACGTACTGGAAGGGAAGGCTGGTCTGAAGAGGGTCGGCAAAGCCTCCGGCACAGGCGTGGTGCCTGCAGGGCCAGGTTAGCGTCACTCCCCAGAGAGGGCGAGTGCCAGTTTTGGGGGACCAAAGCGAGTTGTCCTACCTGGATGGGAGGAACCTCAAGGACCTTATTCACGTTCTTCAGGGACAGCGGCACATACCACAGTGTCGCCTTGTTTGTCACCTTCTTCGCCCCTGGAGGAGAGGGGGGCAGAGGGTGATGGTGCCGCGGCCG